AAAATATAGGCTTCAAAGAGGGAGCTTCAAAATATGTGGGAAATTTCTAGTATCTTTTAATTCCATTTTTTCATGAACTTTTTAAAGCCCCTCTTCCTGTCTGTGATTATATGTGCTGCTGTATAGCGGTAGAAAAGCACATCTAGAGGTGGGTCCCCCAGACTTCACATCACAACCCTTATCCTTGCCAAGTACAGCACCATGTCTTGATGTGATCAGTACAGTCAGTATTTATTGAGAATCTACTTTGAGCCAGACCCTGAGCAAGTTGTTTTCTCATAAGGGTGAGTTGCATGAGAGGCTGGGATAAGGGATACAGATGAAAGTTGGCGATCCATTAGGGGCCAGTGTGGATCACATACTCACCCTCCAGACCTCATCTGAGGTTCAACAAACTAAACATTTTCATTGACCTTTTGAGTCTTTTCCATTGTAGAAAATAGGAGAATCTTTCTTCTTCTTCTTTTTTATTTCCTTTCCCATTCTTGTCAGTTCAAGTTGTTTTCCACCCCCCATGCATTCTAACAACCATAAATTTCATTTTCCACCCATCCAGATTCTCGGCTCCTTGCCATTCTATCCAGAGAGAACTCGTAAATGTCATTGGTCACAAATCCACTCTCTGTGCTCGCCAGAGTCACAAACCCACTTTCAGATGGGTTTACAGCCATGTTGTCATAGTCACAAGACATTTCATCATCGGGAGTGGCTTCTCCTGAGCACACACGGAATGAAATGTTCTTCAGGTCGGGCCGGGGCTCAGCTAAATCAGCTTCACTTTGTTTTCTGATGACGTTGTAAACCTCCAGGTCTGGGCTGTTTTCTTGGTGAGAAGATGGCCAGATAGTGTGTTGCTCCTTTGTGGTAGGGCCTGACTGCTCCCGTGTTCTACGGGAAAAGCAAATCAGGGCTGAGCATTCTAGCCACTAGGGGATCGCCCTGTTCTTGTCTATTCAGGTAAGAGGAAGCAACCGTGGGCAGCCTCATCAGGTTGTACTTCCCATCTACCTCAACTTATAGCTAGGGCTTTAGGGTGGAGGGAACAAAACAGAATCAAGTGCTGTTATATCCAAAACAGCTGTGGATCTACCATTCACTGCCGCCAGAGTGTACGCCAGGGGTAATTACCCTGGGTTCACAGATCTCCAAGGGTCCATGGATAGAAATGAATGAGAGAAAATATCACATTAAGAAACAAAAACCTTACCTTTCATTACAATTTAGTATGTTTTTAGTAATGAATGGGGAAAGGCAGTCACAGTAGAATTAGTAGTATCTGTGGCTTTACTACTAACAGAAATCACATATTTTTGTATTACATCACCATTATTGTAAACAAAAAACCAAACCTACTGCCATTGAGTCGATTCAGACTAATAGCAACTCTGTAAAGGGTTTCCCAGGCTATAAATCTTTGCAGGAACATAAAGTCTCATCTTTCTCCCAAGGAGTGACTGGTGGGCTTGAACCACCAACCTTGTGGTTAGCAGTCCAGTGCTTATCCTACAGCACCACCATGACATGAGATATATTTTATGCTCATTTTTCCTTAAAATTTATGACAATCATTAAGTCATTAAACTTATAGCGACCCCATGTGTGTCAGAGTCGGACTGCACTCCATAGGGTCTTTAATGGCTGGAATCTTATGAAAGTAGATTGCCAGGATTTTCTTTCGCAGTGCTACTGGGTGGATTTGAACGGCCAACTTTTTGGTTAGTAGAAGAGCACACACTGGGTATTTGTGATACTCAGAAATCTTATGATTACCATGCCTACCACTAAGTAAAGAGGTATTAATAAAGCAGTATATCTATTACTGTATCTCAAATTCATTTTTGGACATATTTTGCTATGCAGTATACAAGTACAATTTCTTCCTTTGAAATCTGATGTATTTTATTTTATGCATGTAAAAATATCATTCTGGGAATGGGTTCATAGTTCACCAGATTACTGAAGGGATCCATGGCCCCCCAAAAGGTAAAAAAAACCCTGGGATGGACAGACTCCTAGCTTCCCAGTCATGGTTACCTTATCCTGGTGAGGTGTTCAACTGACGGAGTAAGGGAGGAAAATAAAGAACTAACTGAAGAGTAAACAGCTGAAACATAAATTTGGACTGTTTTGAACTGAAATCTACATCTTAGGGTAAATGGAATTAATAAAAAAACAAAATGATAACTAGCAGTTTTTTGACTGCATCTCTATATGCCATTTCTGGATGCATTAACTCCTTCAATTCTTATAATAATTCTATAAAAAACTTATTATTAAATAAGGTTGGTTCTACATTGGAATCTTAATAATTCGTCTTAAATTGGCAATCAAAGGGAGCCAAATTTTAAATCAGAAATGGTGGCACATGACCCAGCAGCCATAACAGGAGTTCTCTAGGCCACTTCGTGTAGCTATTTGCAGCCATCTGTGCTTCTGTGATCAATGAAAAGGAAAGTCAATTAAAATAATTTTGGCTATTTCATTTTGAATTAAGTGGTTTCATTTCAGATTTCCCCCAAAATCTATTGTTAAAGTTATTTTCCATTTGGCTCACCATCCATCCCTTTGCTTACTCATGCAACAAGAATTTTTCTGAGTGAGGTCATCCATTCATAAGAGCACTCTGCTGGGTAAGAGCACAACTTCCTCCCTCACATCATTACAAACCTTCTACATGCACAGATTCAAGGGTGTAAAACCATTCTCTCAGTCTTATTGATGCACATAAATGATTAGTGCATCTGAATTCCTTGAGCCTGCCAGAGAATTTACTTTTAACTCAGCAATGGTGGTTCTCTTGAAGGTGCCGGGGCTTTTAATTAAGTGAAAAGGACAACATCCAAATCTTAAACAGTGCTCTTGATGCAAAAGATACACAAGTTTACACAATGAAGTTTTTACTTGCCTGCTTCTACAGATCCAAACCCAACATACAATTGTAGTAATCACAAGAAGGAGGAAAAGGGACACGCTGGGGATTAGGATGTAGGCAAGATTCAAGGCAGCTTCTGGAAAAAAAAAAATGTACATTCACAGCATTAGTAATGTTTTTATGTGAACACATTCCTAAAAGGAAAAGACATTCAATCAATCACCCACGGTAAGCGCTTTCAAGGATCAATATGAGGGAAAGTCAAAAAGTTTCGCTACTAGGGTTCCAGTTCATACATGTATGGGTTTATTCCAAACAAAACGTGTTTAAGCACATCTCTATGATCAGTGGATGGCTGCAGACAAGTTCTCTCCATATTATACCTGTCTTAGTCTCATTAGAGGAGTCCTGGTATGACTGGGCTACAAGGTTGCTTGAACTGTAAGGTCAAAAGTTCAAACTCATCAGTTGCTCCTCAGAAACCCTATACAGCAGGAGTGGGGAACATTTTTTCTAGCAAAATTTATAATATCATACAATATTTATAGAAATTAGCTTGCTAAATTTGGTTAAACATTTAATTAATGGACCCCTGATGTGATAGCTGGAACTGTGGTTGCCTTGGCAGGGCCAGACCAAATCATTTTGCCAGGCTCATAAGGCCCGCAGGCCATACACTCCCTACCTCTATATAGTGTTGCTGTGAGTTGGAACCGATTCGATAGCACACAACCATCACCACACGCCACTCTTGTTAGGGCACCTCCAACATGCGACTTGGAGGGTATCTCTTTTCTTGGAGACCAGTTAGATTCCAGGAAGAGAGGCCAGCTCAGAACAGAAGGTTATGGTAACTGTTCTGGAGGACCTCAAAGGGGGTAAGCTTGAATTATTTTCTTGGAGGACACAGAATTATCACAAGGGCTTTATTATAAGATATTTTAAGAAAAGTGAAAAATTGCATTGGTGAGGAAAAAGGCCAGGAAAGTTGTGTGGAGGAATTCCCTCTCCACAGCCCCCATCATAATAATGCTCTTGTTCATTCTTTAAGGGTAGCAAGGGCTGTCCTGTGAGAATTTTGTTGGGAAATCTAACTTCATCCATTCTACAGCCTTGTCCTTGTAGACTTCTTTTTGTTTCAAGGAATATTTAGAAGGACCACAATTAGATTCTCCAAGGATGCTAAACTGCAGTTTTTGACATGGTACAAATTGAAAAGAGCAGAATTCTTCAAGGAATGATAAGAGAGATGGAACCACCACCTTCAGAAGTGGATGGAAAGAAGCCAGGGCTAGATGGTGGAGAAAACAGATGCACTGAGACAACTCTGCAACAGAGACATAGGAGATCGAGTGAGACAGATGGTGATCATGGAACCCTGAGCATCAGGGAACAGGACAGAGAGGTGGATTGAGTGTTGACTTGAAGGGAAAACTGAACAGGAGCAGGGAGAGAGAAGAAAAACAGGAAGGCTGTGGGCCAGTATGGAGCTGTGTGGCCATCTTGGGCTTTTGTGAGCAGCCATCGATACAGTGACCTGCAGACACAGGACTTGCTCCCATACCTCCTGGTAGCAAGGGGCCAGTCCCCACCCTCACCTGTCCAGTAGCCAGTGGCACCCCTTCCTGTACAACCTCTGCTCGGCCTGGGGTTGGGTACCTGGCATAGAGCGCAGTTTGTGGAGGCATCTTAACCTGCCCTGAACTACAATTTAGAAACAGTGAACAGAGAACTAACAGCGGTCACACTTCTGGTCTCTACCACATTCACCAGGAGACAGGAGGTGAGTACCTAAGAGTACACCACCAATACACAGTCATGAATGAAATTTAAGTATGAAACCACAATGTCTGAGAGAAAACAGACAATCTCAACTTACACAAAGAAACAAGACAGAGTGACTGAGACAAACGACCAAAATGCAATCAGAAAATATAACACCAGAAATGGTACAGAACTATCTGAAAATGAATTTAAAAAGATGCTAATAAGGCAACTTCAATGGCTTGAAAGAATGACTGAGAAAACTGCAGATGAAATCAAAGAAAATATGGATAAAACTTTAGAAGAATTCAGAAAACAAACCAACAAAATAAATGAAAAAAAATGAGAACCAAACAAAGTCAGAGATTAATACTGAGACTTCAGAAATAGAGAATGTACTAAAAAGGCAAAGAAATAGAACTGAAGCAATGGAAGGTTGAATTTCTGAGTTTGAAGAAACATATCTCAATATTCATCTATTAGAGGAACAAGAAGGAAAAAGAGCACAAAAATCCAAAGAAAGTCTAAGATATACGTGGGACACTCTCAAGAGGAATAACTTGCATGTTATTGAAATTCCAGTTCAGGAAGTGACAAAAAGCAAAACAAATAACAAACAAACAACCCCACTCCCCAAACCACACGCACACAAAACAAACCCATAGAGAATATAGTCCAATAGTTGTTGGAAGAAAACTTCCCCAGCATCATGAAAGATAAGAGGATAACCATTCAAGAAGTTGAACGAACTCCAAACAAGATAAATCTGAAACATCAAGCCATATTATAATCAAACTTTTCAAAACCAAAGACAAGGAAAGAATCCTGAGAGCAGCTAAGGAAAACCAAGAAGTTACCTACAAAGGAGAATTAATAAGAGAAGGTTTTGCTTTCTCAGCAGAAACTATATATATATATATAAGCTAAGTTTCTGAAAGAAACAAATTGCCATCCTAGAATCCTATATCCAGCAAAAAT